GTCATATAAATTTAAATTTAATAAATTCCAATCAGCAGGTAGGCAAATCGTGTTGGCACCGGTGGCCTTGATAATTCATCCAACGACAAAATGTGAAGCAAACCGTAAAACACGGTGGAGGCGGTGTAATGGCTTGGAGCTGGCTTAATGATTAATGAACAATATGTAATATTTTAAAAGCTTACCTTACCGATGTTCTCTTGGTCAAAGCACTAATAACAGCGAAGCTGTAATAGTGTTTCAGCAAGAAGAAGATCCGAATTTTGTAAAAGTTACTGGTTGACCAAAGTTTACAGTTGATGATGTGGTTGGCTTCAAGTCCTCAACTCAAACCAACTAAATACAATATATACAGTCAGCATCAAAAGAGAGTGTACACCTTTCCCTCATACATTTCAAAATTAAAATTTTTTAAATCAGTTATCATTAACAAATGATAAATTGTTATTTTTATAAGAATTTAGCAACAATCCTTCAACTTAGTCTTACTCTGTCTCTCTGTTTTAAATTTTTTTTATTTTTTTTTTTATTTTTTTAATTTTTTTAAATTTTTTTTGGGGCAAATTAGAGTGGGACATTCATATATTTTTTGCTGATGAAGGATTTCTTGTCATCCTAATGACTGCCCTTTTTCTTCTACAGCTGCAATCCGTTAATATACAGCAAGGGAGCTGATTTATGCAGCTTGTCAGTTCTGAGCCAACACTTTTGAAAAGCACAGTCGATAAACCATCGCATCTCTCCCCTGTGTTGATCTTCAGGCGTCCAGTTGCCTTTCGGAATTCTCCGCTGTTAGAAAAGGGAAGGTCTATTACATTGCCCGGTTAAAAGATCCTAGGATATCAGTTTCTAGAGTAATTCTATGGGTCCCACAGACGTGCACTTTTTGTAAGTCGGATAGCTTCTCAAGCTCTTTCTATCTGCAAAAGTTGTTCCCGTATTTCAACTTTCGGTTTCTTTACCACACAACATGCAGTAGGCAACATTTTTTTCTTCTTTGCCGTACACCGGTCCTCACCACACCAGCGCTTTTTTCGCCTTGGTTGCGACTGTATACAGAGAGCAGGAAATACCATTCAAAAGTTCCCTTTGCCGAGTTGTTGAGAAGTGTTCTCAGAGAACAGAGGTGCCAGTAGAGTAGAAAACTACTTGGGGCTGTCTGTAGCTTTTCTTAGCTAAATGTATTTGTTATTGTTGTTAGTTTTACGTCATTCCATTAGACAACTTTGGCGCCAACTAGCTCTTATAAAGACATGCAAACAAACAAATAGTACGTCATCGCTGGCGATTATAGGCTGTTTGTTAGTATCAAACATTTTTCTATTAGACTTTCATCATATTTATTTTTATTAAATTTATTTTTTTCGTTCCATTTATTTTTCCTTTTTTTCTATTTTTTTCATTTTCCATTTATTGCATTTTACATAATTGGTTAGCTTTGTGTCTGCTTTGGCAAACGATGAATGAAACTAAATACTCAGACGAGTAGTAAACCAACGATAATATAAGTAAAACAATAACAACAATATCGTAAATAAATTTGTTGACGTCGCATTGCCGGCGAAGAAATAGAAATTGCTTTCACGCCTCCATCCATCCGTTCTCTACGTGGCGCTTCGGTGGGCGCGTAGGTACTTGTGTTGACGCCTCTATGGATGCGGACGTTGGGCGGTGGTCGGCGGTGTGATATGCGGTAAAATATTTGACGGCGCGTTATCAGTGCAAGACTGTGAATAGTTTTTATTGCAATAAACGCAATTTTTGTAATTTTTTTTCTACGTTTTTCATTGTCTAATCGTCGCCGACACACTTAACTAATATTTACCGTTTATTAAACTTGTTTACATATCATTTTTATTGTCGCGTATATACATACATACATATATAAATATATGGTGAGAAGTTGCCCTCAAGAGAGGCCTGTGAAAATTGCCTCTCCTAGTTTTTTTTCTAATAGTAACGCAGTCTTCTACAAGAGGGGTGCAATGCAGTTGCCATCTCGTTGACAAAAAGCTTGCGAACAAAACGGCACATATTTGACTCAACTCAGACAAATGTACACAAAGTAATCATATTTTGAAAAATCAATACAAAAAAACCGAACGAACTTTTTACTTGACCATATATAATTAGCGCTTTGTAACCGTTCCACCTTTCTGCAATGTCGCTTTGCATCTTGATGCTTTTCCAACCAATGAAGAGGACCGACAGTTTAAACTAAGCGTTCGGTGATGGCTGATAGCTTCTCTTTAGGAACCTTTTATTTCATATCGGAAAAACACTCGAAGTGCTTCAAATTTCCTTTCGATTGGCGATTGTAATAAAAAAAATTAATTTTCTATAGCTTTTGACTAGGACTCGAACCTTGGCAGCATGCAAGACTAACCACTCATCTGCCCCCAAAAGCTGCTCAAACACCCTTTTTCTTCGCCTATCTCTCTATCTCTCTCTCTACCACTGTGCAACGGTGGCCGGACTTTCCCTAACAATAATTATCTTTTAACAATTCATTTCATATTTATTTTACAGTAAATAAGCATTCACATATACATACATATGTTGCCGTAAATAGTTTTGACGTATTTGCCGTCAAATTGCCGTCTGTTGCCTCGTCGTTTCAAACGTCTGAGTACAGCTCTGACGCGCTGTAGGTGGCGCCAATCGAGCAGTGTTTTCGTGTTTTCTAGCATTCCGTTTACTGAGGGGAGGGGTGCCTTGTTGAAAATTTGTTATGGAAAATGCAAATACCAATGCTGTCAACGTCAACGTCAGGCAGCAGCACTCCGTCATGAGCTGTCGGCGGTTCGTGCAATTAACGGCAGGGAAGAGTGCAATCTTTGATATGCCGCCACCTCTTTACTTACTTATTTATGCATGTACATATATACGGTATCGAAATTGAGTGTGGTCTGGAGTGTTGTTGTGTGCAGTGGATGAGCTTTTTTAAACGTCACAATGACGGGCACTTTTCTCATTCATGTCTTTATTATTCTCATCAGCCAAGCGCGCGTTTGCACTTCTAATGTGTTTCTACACGCTGTAAGCTATGTATGTAAGTATGTTCGTGTAAGTATAGGTGACTACATTTCTTGACTCTTCTCATCCGCACATTATTTTTGTATTGTGTATGTGGTTAGCTGACGCAATAATAAAGGATTTTGCGTAAAAATTAAAGCTAGTCTAGTGCTTATACTTGACAGTATCCAGTGTCCAGTGGTTTAATTATCTGATCACAGACAGCTAAAGCTTGTTTGTATCAACATGAACTATGTTACGTATGTATATGTTAGCGATATATGTAAGTATGCATGTTTGTAGGTATGTAATAAACAAAAGCGTACAGATATTAAGGCTCTTGGAATGACAAAAAGCTCTCAGTCAGCTAAGTGCGTACACATACATACCGTGAAGCCTCGCATCAAATTTGTTAATATTTAACATGTACAGTACTATCGGGCGAAAATTAGGGCGCTTGTTCATTTGGTTACGTCTGCAACTCATTTATCGCACTTTCAGCATGATTGGCCAAGTTATAAGGTATGTCCCATGGAAAGCGAGATTGACCAAAAACATAAACAAAGAATATTGCTATTAAAAGCAGTGCTCTACTGCTTCAATGCACTATTTCATACATTATCGAGAGGTTTATTGGTAGAAAATAGAAGACGTGCTGAAACTGCACACAAGTACTAATGCCCATCGTGTACTTATTTGTAGTTAATTGAAATTTAGAAGAAATTATCGAAAGTTATTGATTTAGCAAAAGAGATGGGTTTTTTGTAAAGTGTCGTTCTCAGTGGGACAACTTACAACATTAAAAAAAATAATAATTTATGTGTTCTACAATTGTAATTATCACAATTTATTCGATCGTACCAACTTTGAACAATTCGGCCACTAATCAACCGTGCATTGAATTCTAAAGATACCTTTACCACTTTCACGCCCTCCTCCCATGTAATGGTAAATTTGAAAAATTTGTGTACAGTGGAAATTCTGTAACTAAATGTACAATTAAAGACATATTTTTTATGGCTGATCGCTTTATACGGGAAATAAAGGGTGACATAAAATATCGGGTGGTTAAGGGCCCATCCACTTCCGATAAAAAACTCGTGTGTCTCAAAAACCACAGGACAAAATTCGCTGAAACCCAGGCAACAACTACGCCTTTGCCTCTACTACTTTTCACACCTCGCTTGATTCCAAATCGAACGGCATTATTGAACAGAATTCAATCAAACTTAACAAATATCTCACTTTAAATGGAGATCAAAGTTCCAACACAAATGCCTGTATGGGTGATCAGAATATAGAATTTATTTTGTGGGACACTTCGTTGCTTAGATTTTACGGGTGGGTTTGCTCCTGTTGGGCTCCACATCGCGGACTGCTGTTTGGTTTCTGAATCGTACCTATAAAACCAAGATTCGTCTACTTCTTTACTAAAGTTGCTAGACTGACCATTTTCGAATTTGTTTAGGAAAAATTGAGCGAAATGCACTTGAGCCTCTTTTTGGCACTCATTTAAAATTCGTGGTACTCATCGTGCAGATTTCTTCGTGTATCCCAGATGCTTACTTAGTATTCGCGATACAGCTATGGCATTCAAGCCCAATTCATTAGCAATCATTTCGTTTGTGCCAATCGTGGGTCTTTGCCAATTTTGGACTGCACCAGAGCTGCAGTGACGTCATCAAGTTTATCGTCGATTTTCTCGAGACTTGTCCTCTACGAAAAAATGTCTGGCCTGGAATCTTTGGAGCCACTTAGAAATAGTCTTTAAAAATTTAATATAACAAATTTTAATTCTAAATTCAAGTTGTAATAAAGTCAGAATTTGTAAAAGTTTCTTACAATTATTAATCAAGAAAAGATACCTTACTTGTACGTATGTACGCATGTAGAATATTTACATATATTTGGATATCTAATTAACTCATTGACCCAATACAAATATAACTAATTTGTTTTCTTGTTTTCTCTTTCTCTCTTTCTAGTTGTCTACAATATTTTATGCAAGGAAATGCCAAAATCCATGGGAAATTTCAGAAATATGATTATAACGATGCTATTAAACAATACGTGACGTAATACGAAACATAAAACACCTACCGCAAAGTTTATTATTCAAAAGAAGAAAGAGCGCAGAAACAGATTCACAAACAGTAATTAAAGTCGAAAAAAAAAACAAAAATAAGAGTAAAAAAATTCCCAAAAAAACAAAAATCGATAGCGCCAAAAGAGCAAATTCACCTCAATGTAAGCGGTTCCCGTAAAACTTGGACGAAGAGTGAGTAATTAGCGAAAAATGGACATAAATTGTGAGCGATTGACTTTGACAGCGAGCCGCAGCAGCCACAATTACAGCAGCGTTGCCTTGTCATCAGTGGGCTACGATAATATGACGCGGCTCGAAAGGCAAACAGCAGCCAGCTGTGCGCTACGCACTCGACGTAGAACAGCGGCGGCGGCAGCAGTGGCGGCACAACGCGCCCAAAATGCAACAGATACTGGAGGAGGAACGCATCGAATTGCTGACCCTGCAGCTGGCGGTGAGCTGTGTGCAGCGACCCCAAATACAACACCGCAGCAGTTGAGCGCACAACGCAGTGCTGCTGCAACAGGCGAAATGGCGTTGGCAACATATAGCAGTGTCTCGCACCCGGACACGGCGCAACAGCAAAGCGTTTGCATTATTTGCCGTCAGCATGTGGAGGAGTGTTGTCAGCGTTGTTGTAGAAGTTATATGGCAACGACAACAACAGCAGCACCAGCAGCGGCAAAACCAACAAATCGCAATAGCGTACAAAGCGCTTGCGGCAACGATTGCTGTATATTATCAGCGACGCCGAACAGACAATTGCGCGGCAGCCATGATTTCATGGTCGATGACGTCGGTGATGTCGTGCGACAAGCATTCAATAGTACAACAATAGAAGCACCAATGAATGGAACAACAGTGGCCGCAACGTCATTGGCATTGAGCTCTACAACAACAACAAGACTGGTTAACGGTGCTATAATTGATGTGCCGGCGTCAACAACAGCAGCAGCAGCATCAGCAGCAGCGGCAGTAACAACGATGGCTGTGTGTTATAGCTGTCGACGACGGCAACGGCAATGGCCAGCAACAACAACAATAGCAGAACATTTATTAGAAGCTCCAACAGCGCTAAAGGCATCAACAATGACGCTTACAACAACTGCAATAGATATAGAGTTGACAACAACAACAGCAGCACGTACGGTAATAGCTCCGCAGAAATCGTTCGAAACATCGCAAGCATCATCGACATTGTCATCATCATCACCATCTTCATTAGCGACGACGACAAAAACAACAACAACAACAACAACATTAGCACGCACCGCCCGTACAAAATTCATTGAGCAACACCGAAATGTGTTGAACGCAAAAACAACAACAACAACAACAACAACAACAACACTACCAACACCACTAGCACCAATAGCACCACTAGCAACGAGTTTGACGACGGCGGCGTTATTTGAGCGAACGCTGCGCTCATTTCAATTGTTGTTGTTGTACATTCAAGTGCAATTTTTGCGCCCCATTTACACAAAAATCAATAGTTTTCTTTACAAAAACAAAAGTAATAACAATAGCAATAGCAACAATAGTAATAATACCAACAAAAACAAGCATGCGACGAATAGTAATAATAATAATAATAGCAATAGAAATAGTAAAAATAGAAATATGAAATCCAATAAAAGACAACATATACAAGAAAACCCACAACCGCAACAACAACAACAACGTCCTCCACATTTAAGACTGATGCAACAAATTCGCTGTAATTCCTACTACAATAATAATTATATTAATATTAATAATGATAATGATAACTATACTGGTTTAATTAATAGTAGCAATATATCTAATACATCACAAAAACAACAACAACAAAAACAATACGCCAATGCCAACGCCAACAATAACAACAATAGCTGTAACAATAGTAGTAATTTAAGTAGCAATAATTACTGGCAACTACAACATCACATACAACACCACACAGTACAACAACAACAACAACAACAACAACAACAACAACAATCGGAACATCACTGCAATTTAATATCACCAATAACGTGGTCAACATCACAGCAACAAAAAGAAAAGCTACAACTACGACAACAACAACAACAACAAAATCACCTCAATGCAGGCAAATTCGCTTCACTACAACAACTACAACTGCAATTGCAACAGCAATTACAACTACTGCAAAAATTGCGCTACTTCAAAATGCCAAATTTAACTGTTTTATATAAGTTACTGCTCGTCCTCTCGTTCCTATCGCTATCGCTGCCATCGATAAATGCTCAGGCCACAAATGAGATTGCGAAATTTCCCGGTTCGGCGTACAACAATCGCGATAGTATTCGTACATCGCCTGTGTCTTTGCGCAGCAATGAGACTGGTGAGTTTGAAAGGCAAAAAAATATATGTTTTTTATAACTAAAAATAGATTGAAGAAATTAATAAATTGATTGAACTACTTGATTAATCGAAGATTAATTAATCGAATCGTGAATTATTAAAATGATTAAATAATTAAATGAAATAACTGAAACTTATTTTCGTTGATAAAGCACAAACTTGATTAATTAATTAATTGTATAATTGAATTAGTCGTACTTGTACTAAATAAAATAAGTGAAATCTCCTTATTATCAAGTGGCTGCATTAGTTAATGCACTTACATATACATACATATATGTACCTATGTACATATACGTATGTACGTATATAAACCAAAATAGTAAGACATAATGTCTACTTATCGATATTTGATCTCTGAACTTGTGCAATAAAGATTTTCGGCTCAAGTCACTAGATCTTGAGCTCTAAAGAACACTCAGTGAAGAAATTTTAATATTATAACGCCAAATATATTTTGTTTTTCTTTATTTTCTTTATTATTTGTTATTAATGAGTGAAGTCAGGCTGATTTGATTACAACACAACTGATTTTTTATTTTTAACCTCTCACCTCGGAATGCATAAATTTAACATAAAAAAGCATAAAAATTTTTAAAATGTCGTAAAATAAATACAAAATAATAAAAACAAATTTTTAATTTTTTTATTAGTTCAATAAACCTTTGGTTATCTTTAATAGCGTAGATCTTCACGTCTTTTACGTTTAACATAAAATTATGCATGTCCATACATACTTGCTTATGTATATATGTACATTTGTTGTCACAAGCGACTACAAAACTCCATAGTTTTCAGTATAATATTATATATAATACTATATATTATGTTTTGTATTTATATTTCTGAAAATAGTTACCCCGTAATAAAAAAATAATAAATTAAACAAAGTTGATTAAATTTATAAATATCATAATAAATAAAACACTAAATTAAATAAATAAAAAATAAGAAATAAAATGAATTAAAAATAAATTAAATTAAAGCAACATAAAATATGATAAAATAAATAAATAAATAAAATAAATTTAATGAAGAAAATCAAAATATTTAAAGGAAATATGATCAAAGTAAAATAAATTAAATTTAATTAAATTAAAAATTAACATAAAATAAAAAATTTAAATAAATAAAAGAAATAAAATCTAGAAGAAAATTAAAAAAAATTAATTAAAGGAAAAATAATATGATATAAAATAAAATAAATGAAATAAATGAAATAAAATAAAATAAAATAAAATAAAATAAAATAAAATAAAATAAAATAAAATAAAATAAAATAAAATTAAATTAAATTAAATTAAATTAAATTAAATAAAATTAAATAAAATAAAATAAAATAAGATAAACTAAAATAAAATAAGAAATTAAATTGAATAAAAGAAAATGAAATAAAATAAAATAAAGTATATAAAAAATAAATAACATATGAATAAAATAAAATAAATTATGATATAATTAAAAAACTGAGTTAAATTAAAGAAATAAATAAAATAAACTTCATCAAACATGATGCTACCGTAAGATGGTATCAAACATATTTTTGCCCAAAATGCAAGTGCTTGACTTACATGACATGTGGTTTCAGCAAGGCGGTGCCACATGCCACACAGCACGCGTAACAATGGTCTTATTGAGAGGGGAGTTCGGTTAACATATTATTTTACGTTCGGGACCGGTCATTTGACCGCCTAGATCGAGCGGTTTAAAGTCTTTAGACTTTTTTTGTGGGGCTATGTTAAATCTAATTTCTATATATATAAGTATATGGAGCGTTCTATTGATTCAAATAAAAATATTATGTGTTTTTCTGAATTTTATGTGTTTTTTCTGAAAAACTTTCATATAGCTCTTAAAAATCACCCTTTACATATGTATTAAACAGAAATTAATAATATGTATGAACATATATGAAATTGTAAATTATATATACTTACAAATACACATATGTAAGCATGTATATTCGTACCTGAAATTTTGTACAGGTATTATTTACATACCAACATATGAATTGCTATAAAATTGAAATCATTATTGTGTACGTATTGTGCTTACTGGTGGGGCCGTCAACGTGATACAACAACACATGCGGAAAGTCGCTGCTGATTGGCTGTTTGTGGCTAATCGGTCTACATACGACGACATCGTCGCCCGTCGACAATCGCTCTCTATGGCGCTGCTGTTGTTGTTATCAGTTAGTTTCGTGTTTATTACTGTAAGCATATCTTGTTTTTATTGTTGTTTTCTGTTTATATGTTATATTTTTTTTTTTTTTGAGATTGACTGTTTTGATTTAATTCCGCCGCCGCGTTTTATAAGTATGAAAGAGCGTTGCGTTATGACTCTGACAAATGTTTATTCATACTTTCAAATGTACAGTTGTAAATGCATTGTATGTATATATGTACATATATATATATGAATATTTTTCTTTACATGTACGTACATATGTATGTATGTATGCATGTACATTTGGTAGCTGATAACAAATGTATTAGATTTTGTATTTTTATTTTCTAAAAAATAGTTGTAATTGGTTGTTTATATTTCAATGGAATTGCATAAACACATACATACATAGTATTTTGATTATTATGGCATACGTACGTATGTATATTTTTGCTTTCTTATTTCTGTGCTACTCTTGCTCACAAGACATTGCTGCGAGGACGGCCATTTGCTTTTCCGAAACCGAAACGGCCATCATCAGCAACACTTCTACTGTGGAATGAAGTGGTTTAATAAATAACTATTTCGTTTGTAATATGTGTGTCAACCAAGTCTAAGTAGTCAATTGTATTTTTCCTTAAAAAGCAAATGGTTTTCTTAGCCTTACATAACCTCTGAGTTGGATTTCTGACAACAATACATACATACATACATACGTGTAAAAGTTCTCAGACGCAGTCTCTAACCACATAACCCATAATCCTTAAGAAAGTTATTGTATATTATACTAACCTCCAACTTAGCTTGGTCAAGTAGCTGAAATTCGACGAATCCAACTTGAAACAACACTGGAGTGCGTAAAGCGCTTCCTTTTTCGGCATATAGCTGATGCAATGGGAATTACCTCAATAAAATCCCTAGAAGTTATCGTTGACATTTGGCGAATCAATATACAAGTAATGCACTAAGCATTGGCGGCCGCGGTGGCCGAGTGGTTAGCATTGCGTACTGCCATTCAGAAAGCACAGGTTCAAATCCTGGTCCAGCCAACATCCAAAAGTTGTAGAAAATTAATTTAAATAAAAAATTAAATTAAATTTTCTAATTGCGATCGCCCCTGGACAGGGAATGTCAATCCCTTCGTATATATTTCTGGCATGAAATAAAAAGCTCCTCATTAAAAACCATCAGCCTTTCGGAGGCGGCTTACTATAAACTGTAGGTCTCTGAATTCGCTGGAAAAACATAAATACGCTAAACCACAAAATTTTCCTGTTGAAACCACATATTGTTCAAGTCAACGTTATCTTCAACAACAAATAATTTATGAACACGGCACGGCAGAGAATGGCATTGGCAATTTCTAAAAATCGGACCAATGATGCAACCGACCATACAGTCACTGGCATCTCCATAGTTACGATTGGATTTCCGGAGTTTCAAATACAGTACTTTTACATGTTAACTTCATCGAAAGCCAAGATTTTTACCGATCTTCAACCCATTGAGCAAAGCAAAATCGCAACGGATGGTCATGAGGCTAAAATTTTTAGACCAATTGAACTTTTTAAGACTTCATACCTAAAAATTTTTAGTTCCTGCAAACTGTCTAGAGTTGATGTTGAAGGCTGATCAAGCGTACTTTTATCTGAACGCCTTAGAGAACAAGTCTGAGAACAAACGAAAAGGCAATTAACAGACCAGCACCGGGATATAGAAGACAATGAAAAGTTGGAGCTGACGAGGGGGCCGTTTTGGATGACCGCAAATTATACATATAGTGCATTGAAGCACTTAAGATCTTGTCGGGCTTTAGGCAGCAGATATATCAGTCACACTAAACTACAACAGATATATAATTTTCGAAAGACTGCTCATGGTTAAAAGGACTTTGCGCAGACCATGCATTGCAGGGTAGTAAATATTAGACAACTAACTTTTCGAGACATAATACGTAGAGTCCGGGCTTTACAGAAATGGAGGAAAATAAGAAAGTTTATCAAATTAAGCAAACTTAACGTGGGATATTCAGTGTGTAGTATAAGGGGCAATCGGATATTTAACCCCCACTCTCAGTCGAATAAAAAAAAAATTTAAATGCCCTTTCATATCAAATGAGAGAAATTATTATTGTACTTTGGTGATTGGTATTAAAAAAATTCTGGTCTTAAGGAGTTACAAGTATTTCTTAACCTCAAAAAATAAATTTTTTTTTTGTTGCCTTATTAATTTTTACAACAACTAGAGGGTATTATCTTGAACTTTCAAGTCGTGGCCAATAAAAATTTCGGAAAAAGAATTTTGGTACGGTGCATGCTGAATTGCAGGTACGCCCATAGCTGTAAAAGTGATTTTCTCGAAATTATATTTTCAAATTCTGTTGTCAAAAGTTCTTGAAAACTACTAAACCGATATTTATGACGTTTTCTACAGGTATTCGAAATGCAATCCACGAGGAATTGGACGAAGGATAGATTTCCTTTTAAAAACTGTTCAGCAAATGCAATTTTCGCGTTTGTCTTTTTCCCTCCTTCGCGCCAAAACTACTCCAAGGTAATGACTAAAACGCGATTTCTTTGTTTTTCCCTTCGAATGATCCTGTAATAAGTTCCACGGAAGCACTCTCTTCCGAAGCGTCTCCGGAAATATCGTTACAATGGCGCAGTAATGAATATTTTGTTTTGAAAAGTTCAGAATATTTTTTTTATTTTAAACTTAAAAGACCGTAAAAATTTTAAATTAATTATTTTATTTGCTATATTATACAAAAAAAAAAATTAAATAGATATTTTTATCGCTAACCAATCCATA